TCTTTCTCTTTCTTTGCTTCTCATTTTCTCATTACTTATTTATCGAGGCCACCACCAGCAGCAGCAGCAGCAGCCGAAAGTATATTTCTCTTCTCAGTAGTATACACACACAGTTGACACCACAACCGAATCAGAGAATTCTTGATTTGCAGTGACTGTGCCATTACGATAATTTGTTTCCACTCATCGACTGATTCTGTGTCCTCTCTGCCTTAGTCAGTCGATTCTGGGCGACAGTGCTGGAAGTTTTTTACCAGCCCCTAAATTGGGACACATATTTTCAAAGTCTGATAATCTTTTAGCAGCAGCAATGGCAGCCATATTTGCGTCCGTCGTCGCTGTACAGCAGCATCCCATTCTGCTGCTGCTGCTGCTGCTCTTATTTAGATACACTTGCTATTCATGGGCTTTTTCGCTTTCACTCTTTCCAAACTGTGAGGCCACTACTAGGCACTACTCGCATTTGCATAACTTTCCACTTTTTCCATCCTCTCTCCTTTGTGGAAGATTTCACTTTTATACGATTTTTCATATTTCTCCTTCTTCCTCTCTCTCTCTCTCTCTCTTTATTCTTGTTGTTGTTGCTGCTGCTGGTTATTATCATTATCATCGAGCCTAGGACACAGAGGACCACTAGGAGCACAGAGCGAGGACCATTATTAATGAATTGGCCAATAAATAATTATTGCTCCTCTGAATTATTATTATGATTATAATACGGATGCTGCTGCTGCTGCTGTGGTAATAATTTTTCCTGGTAAAGAAGGGTAAAGAAAGGAAGAAGCTGAAGAATGAGGCCCCGAACATCTCCTTCTTCCTCGTCTTTCGTTTGACCTTCGAATCTTCAAAGTTAATTAAAGCAAGCAGCATCTCCTCCGCTTCTTCTTCTTCTTCCTCTTTTCTTTCCTTCGCCCTAATGGCGGCAAATTAATTTCATTATAATTTGACCTCGACTCGGAGAGAAGCAGGAAGAAGAAGAGGAAGAAGAATGCTACTTGCTATCTTCTTTCCTTTCTTCTTGCTGGCTGGAATGTTTTAAAGCAGCAGCAGCAGAATATGCAAAAGAGATACTTTAAAGTAGTTTGTGTGTTTGGAGTACAGTGAAGCTGCATTGCTAAAGTCAATTAACAGTTGGCCGGCCACTAGGCGGCCCAGAATCTCTTGCTCTTTTGCTTTTCTTGCTGTGAATAATTTCGGAGATGGCTAATTTTCCCTTCTACTAAATTAACTCGCTGCTGCTGCTGTTATGTCCTAATGAAATCAATGAGCTGCTCGAGCTGAGAGAAAGAGAAAGAGAAGTGGCCTTTTTCTTCAGTTGCTGCTGCTGCTGCTGCTGCTGCTGCTCTAATTGATTGCCGCTGTCGAGGAGGCAAAGTGTTGTGATCAGGCGAAGAAGAGGATGGGATGATTCGTGGGTTGATTCATGGACACCCGAGGAGAGTGTCGAATGAGTGGAGTGCATGTACAGCAGCAGCAGCAGTGTCGATTCTTGATTCTCGATTCTCGGCTCTCAGTGGCAGAATGCAGTTCGCATTCGGCCGATGAGTGATGCCCGCCAATGACAAGCCCAGCTAAAGCTTTCCCTTTGCTGTGCCAAGAGTAGTATTTCGGGGCACTTGTCTTGATTGCCATTGATTCTCTCGGCTGCTGCTGCTGCTGTGCTCACTTTTTCTGTTTTTCGATCGACTCGCCAAACTCTGAACACTGAAATGTAATGAACTGGTGATGATACTTTGCTGCTGCTGCTGCTGTTTCTGGTACTGTTTCTAGGACGTTTTTTCTTCCTCTTTCTCCTTCTTCGATCGAGAACTTTAAAACGTAGTAAAAGGCTTCGGCTGTTGTTTCTGGAAAACTGCTCTTTACTGGTAGTTTTCAGCACTCCGTCATCACTCCGGCCACTTATCACACACCGACAGATTGACTGGTTCTGTACTCTTCTGCTCTGCTCTTTTGTTTCAGCCATCTGTCCATTTGTTGTAGTAGTATTTGTTTTGTCCATCTTCTGCCTGCCTGCAAATGTGTGTCAGTGGGCTGATGTTGCTGCTCTGAAAGTCATTTTCCCAAAAAACTGTTCTCGTCTCTCCACTGGAGCATCATCTCCACTTTTTCTCTCAGTTCCCTCTGCCCAATTGCCCTAATAAATCATCCTCTCTCCCTGTTACCGTTTACTGAATACCACCATCTCCTTTCAGTCTTTTTGTGTGTTTGTTGTGTTCCTCTCTTGATGAGCATTTCTTCTTCTTCCTCCTCTTCTTCTTTTAGTCTAGGTTTTCTCGAATATTAGTCGGTGGGTAGGGTGTAGAATTCTGCAGGGATTCTCCTTCTCCCTCTCCCCATCAGAATGTTTAGCTCATTTGGAAACGGGAAAAGTGGAGAGAGTGAAGGCAATTGATCCGGGCGACGGCGGCGGCAAATATGGATGCGATTCGATGCCACTACAACTCGATTAATCAAGTGCGCACTGCACAGTGCACGAACACACACACTTTCTTTCTTTTTCTTCTTCTTCTTCTGATGCCGACAATTGACAATTGACATTGCCGCTCCTGCTCTTGCTTCTTTTTTGCCATTCATTCACTCACTCAGCTCATTCATTTTCATTCCAGCAGCACTCTCAGTCGTCGTGAAGTGTCTCTTTTTTGTTTGATGCATTCTCGCTTTTTCTCTTTCTCTTGCACTCGCAAATATCGATTCAAGTGTGTGTTTTTCGGCGGCAGACAAAAAACATGAACCAGTCGGTACTGGTGGCGGTGGTGGTGGTGGTGATACTTGGTCTTGGACTTTCTTACTTCAACTGCCTTTCTTGACTGTCGCCTGTCAGCAGAAAAGAAGAAGAAGAAGAGGAATAGGAGATCCCAGAGAATCGAGAATCGAGTGTCGTATCGATTGCTGCTGTGAAAACACTCACAATTACTTAATAGATGATGATGAAATGAATGAGCGAATGAGGGAGGGAGGGAAGGGAGTTAAGGGGGTGGAAATAGAAATAGAAAGCCAACACAGATATGTTTACTCACACTGTTTTCTTCTTTTTTCAGATCCAAAATCGAAGAGCAGCAGCAGCCTTTTTCTTCCTTCAACGAACCGCCGTCGATCTCTTTCCTCATCATCCTCATCCTCATCCTCCTCCTCTTCCTCGAGCTTATTATCACCATCGCCTGACTCACTGGTCGCCCTGCCTCTGGTGCATCCTCTGGTCCAGCCGGAGGAGAAGACGTACGTGGTGGGCGTGGAGGGCGCCCGCTCGGTGCTGCCCTGCAACGTCACCGCCAAGCTGAACGACACCATTGACCTCATTCTCTGGTTCCGGGGCGCGGAGGAGAAGGCCCTCTACTCGATTGACGCCCGCCGGGCGCCCACGATGCAGCGGGCGACGAAGCACTTCTCCGGCGATGAGCAGCTCGGCGGCCGGGCGTACATTGACCTGACCACGAGGTAAGTGCAGGGATGTGCTGTGCTGGGATGACGTTTCAAACTTTTCACCCCTTCTTTTTCCGGGGATTTTAATTTAGCGAGTGTTCCAAAAAACCGAGTGCAACGAATTAGCTGGTAATTGAGTCAAAAAAGCTTTTCATTTGAAAGTTTTAGAAAATCTCCCGTTTTTTGTTTAGAAGGAAAAAGTTTTAGCTTCTCTCGAGTTCCCTCCTTTGTGAGCGGGACATTCCTGACGGTGTGTGCGCCTACCTTTGCCAGTGCAGAGCGCGGCGACTTTGTTTTCATTCTCTCAGAGAATTTCTCGCGAGTTTCCATTTCCCATCTCTCGCATCACTTCACTAAAACCGTTTTTCATCTCTTTCCTTCCTATTCCTCCTTTTCACCTCCTCTTCCTCCTCTACCATCTCTGCAAACTCACAGGCCCACGGGACTGATAATTGAGTCGGTTAAAGGTATGTTTGTGTGTGTTTTTCGGTGAACATGCTGGTGTGGTGGCGGTGGTGCCTCTAAAAGCTGCGGGTACTTGCAAATGGGGCAAAGCGGCGACGCTGTTTGCCCCATTTGCCCGATCCCCCCACATCCCAGCCTCAATTTCTCAAATGTCTAAATTGTTTTACGTTTTACATTTCACTTTGGAAACTCGCTCTCATTCCCTCCTTTGGCTCTTGCTGCTCCATCTCACTCGCTCCATCCACTTTGCCTTAATTGAATCCCAACCGCCGCCGCAACTACAATCTACCCGATCTCTTGTCGAAAAAAATGCTGCACTTTGAAACGCACGCACTCACTCACTCTTTCTAACTTTGCATCTTTACACGACTGCTCCCGCTGTTGCCCTGTCTGTCTGTCGGTTTGTGTGTTAACCTGCCAACTACCAAATCAACAACGACATGGCTGAAAATAACAACAACATCAAAAACACCACCAACAACATCATTTCATCACACACTCACTAAATGTGTGCACATCAACTCTCGCATTTACATTGAACAGCGGAGGATGCCGGCGAGTACAAGTGTCGAATTGACTTTCGCAAGTCACGCAGCGAGTACCGCGCCGTTCACCTCGACGTCTACGTGCCCCCCAAGGAGGTGATCATCATGGACGAGTTCGGCCAGCGGCTCTCCGACCCGGTAGGTCCCTTCAACGAGGCCGCCCATCTCAACCTGATCTGCGAGGCGGAAGGAGGTAAGTTCTTCGAAATTCGATTTTTTATTATTATTCTTTTGATGAGAGAGAGAGTTCGATTTTCCTCTTCTCCTTATTTTGCTCCTTGATTTCATTTTGATGCCTTCTCCGTGCCCTTTGCCTTTGCCTTTCTCCTTTGCCTCTGTTGCCAGTACACTTGATTGGCAAATAACTGCAATGAACTTAAAAGCCACTCGATTTTCAAAGCTGCTTGACTGGCTGGAGCGTTCGACTGTGCTTTGTTGTTTATTTTGCTCCGAGCGAAATGGCCACCACCAATGCAGCCGCCGCCGTCATCATCATCATTGCTGCTCTCTCAGCAGCTTCATTCTTCAGACGGCTTATTTTAGCTCCTGCTAGCACTTGAGTTCACATCGCAGTGATCTTTATTTTGTGCTCTGGCACGGCTCGGGCAATAATGCTGATTGCATCCTCAGAAGAAGGCCCACAGACTCTCCTCCTTTTTCATTCTCATTTTCGTGCTTTCTTTTTTCATTTATTCATTGAGAGTTGTGGGGAGAGGCGAATATTCTCCAGCAGAAGAGCTGTTGGTTGCCACTGCTCTTGAAGCAATGCGGCGGCGGATGCATTTTTGCATTTTTCTATGCAACTTTTAGCTTTGCTAAGCCAAGCTCTCTTTCTCTCTTTTCACTGTCTTTGCTGCCCCTCAGCTGTGTCCATTACCCGAGAGAAGAGACTAGGCCTGTCTGTCTTTTTCCCTGTCTTTTTTCTTCATTTCCACCCTCAGCCATCTCACCCTCAGCTTCTCTTGGAAGTGTGTCCTGTCCCCTGCCCGTAGTAATAGACACACACAGACACACACTGTAGAGGCGGCTGTATGATGCATCATTAGGCAGGGATGCATCACATCACATCACTACTAGTGCCACTGCCGCCATCATTAATGCCCTTATTTTGCTTAATTTTTAAAAGGCATCTCTGAAGCAGACAGTGCAGTGCTGACTGGCTGTGTGCCGCCGCCGCATCCTGCTGCATTTTGTGGATGGTATTGTCTGTGAGCTTTCTATTTTTGTGGTGTGTTTTTACCGCTACTTTTTCTGCTGAATCCAGGATCCTAGGGATGATGCTGCTGCTGCTACCGCTGCTGCAGTATCTATCATAATTTGTTGGATCACTTAGCCAGGCAGGAAGGAGGAACAAAGTGTGTGTATGTGTGTGTGTGCCCAGCTCTACTCATCATTACCATAGCCTTCTTTTTCCCATCTACTTTTTTACTCTTTTCAGACGGCATTCATTTAGTGTGTTTGTGTGTGTGTCTGTCGGTGGTGATTAGCAGTCGAACGACAATGGATGCCTTTTTTCCCACTGATGATACATCTACGTTGTTCACACTTTTGTGTGTGTCTGTTTTCTGTTTGTCGGTGGTCGATTGCCCCCCCCCCTAAATCGAGTGAATAATAGTCTGCTGCTGAGTTTAGTTCAAGTGTGCCTGTTGTTGATGATTTACCTTTGCCAACATTTTTCTTCCTTTTCCTCTCTTTCTACCTTTAATCCGGGCATTGCCTCTCCGGGCCTAATATAGTGTGCTACTTTATGCAGACACAGAATACAGAAGAGAAGAGAAGAGAGCCACTTGAGAAATACCATTTGTCATTGAGCAGCGGCGGCATATTTCCGCACGTTTTCCTACTCTGCCTTTCAGCCCACGCTTATGTCACTGCTGAACGCAGCAGAGGCAGCAGCATCTGTTCAGAATGTGCAGAATATTCTCTCGCTCTCCTTTGAAACCCCATCCACCGAGGCGCAAGAGGTTTGAACAGACTCTGGCGTCAGCGGCTGCTGCTGCTGTTCATTGTTCGAGCAAGCCAGTGATAGCATCAGTAGAATATCATTTAGGCGGAAAGATGGATGCGCTTGCACTGTAACANCACGTTTTCCTACTCTGCCTTTCAGCCCACGCTTATGTCACTGCTGAACGCAGCAGAGGCAGCAGCATCTGTTCAGAATGTGCAGAATATTCTCTCGCTCTCCTTTGAAACCCCATCCACCGAGGCGCAAGAGGTTTGAACAGACTCTGGCGTCAGCGGCTGCTGCTGCTGTTCATTGTTCGAGCAAGCCAGTGATAGCATCAGTAGAATATCATTTAGGCGGAAAGATGGATGCGCTTGCACTGTAACAGCAGCAGCAGCTTTTCTTTCTCTTCTTTACCGCTAATTGTGTTGCTGCTTTTGCTCCTAACATCTTTTCTGACATTGCACAGACAGCCGCAGCAGCAGCAGGGCACACGTGTTCGCACCGGCGACATGTGCTCCCTGCTGCTGCTGCTGCTTAATACTCCTAATTAGTTGTGCTTTTTACTCTGTGTGGCAGGTACGGTTCGTAAGCGGTTCATTTGGTTGCAGGTCCGGGGCGTGCAACTTTTCCACTGCACAGGGACAGTAACGAGAAAGACTGCACTTTGGCTGTGTTGACGTAACATGAGTTTCCACCCCAAAAACAGACATTCAGTTTTTTCAATACAGTAAAGGCCGGCAGCCGCTAAAACTGATTTCAAGGCGGAGCCTGATTTGAAGTTAACACAGCCAAAGTGCAGTTTTCCTCGTTACTGTCCCTGTGCAGCGAAAAAGTTGCACGCCCCGGACCTGCAACCAAGTGAACCGCTTACGAACCGTAGTGGCAGGGTGTTCACCCTGCCTTCATTCAGCTTACCCTTTTCGGGCTATTTTATTTTTCTTCCTCTCACCTTCTGATTTGACATGGCAGTGGTGGTGTTGGTGGTGGTGTCAGAAAAAAAGAAATACTACGATCATTATTAAATGCAAATGAGGGAGTAGTGTAGTGCAGTTTAGTGTAGTGATGCCCCCGTTTCAGTGCTGATGTGCAATATATGCGAGTTCTACGTGCGGAAAGGTGCATGCTGTTGTTGTTGTTGTACTGTTCACCCTGGGTGAACGAACACACACACACCAAACAGTGTGGTGTTACCTTACCGTACCTTGCACTACCCGTCACGTAAACATGTTAGGTGCCCGCATTCGCTGTGCACTCAAATGTAGTCGGTAGGGTAGTGTAATAATATGGAGGCAATAACGGTGAGCTTGTCGCTGTGTCCTTGTCCTCTTCTTTACACTTTTTCCCTGCTCGATTTTTTTCGGAGCTGTACCACACTTTGATCACCACCATCACCACCACCTCGACCAACGGTAATGCAAAGCACATACACCGACAGACAGACAGTGTCTGGGCCGGAGACGGCGAGAGCAGTGCCCCGTGAATGAGCAGCAGCAGCCACAGCCGAATCTCTCCTGTCAGAGCGAGAGAATGTTTATGAATATTCTATTATTGATTTGCTGCTGTTGCTGCCTACTGCTCACCGGGACCCCTTCCTCCTCTTCCCTTCCCTTCTTTCCTAGAGCCTGCCACTTAGCATAGCACTGCATAAACCGCACAGCCTCGTCTTTTTGCTGATAGGGCTGCCGTCGCAACTATCGAGGCAGCCACCACCATTGAAAAGTGCCAGGGAAATGGTGAAATTTAAATTGCTTAGATAAGTAGAGAATGTTGTCTCACAGGCGTGTGCCTGCATTGCCTTGTCGAAGTGGTGGTGGTGCTCCCCCCCCCCCTTGCGCCACACACTGCTGACACGATTCGCATCAACCTCTTCTTCTTCTTCTTCTTCTTCTTCTTCTTCGGCGCCCATTGACGGACTCTTTTTCTCCTCTTGCTCAGTAGCAAAGACGTGAACGTGGAGTTTGTGTTTGTGTAGAGTGTAAGTGTGTGAGTGTGTGTGGGCAAGCAATGGCAATCGATCTCGGGATGTGTGAACGTGCACTGTGAACATCACCACCACCACCACTGCGGCAGCAATTTTCGCCGTCTGTCTAGGCGTCTGATGTCTCCTCTTCCTTCAGTGGCAGCAGCAGCAGCAGCAACGCTTGTCGATTCAATTCAATTGTTTGCAGTTGCTGCTGCTGGCGTTGCTGCTGTCGGTCTTTGCTCTTTTGCTCCTGTTTGATTTAATTTTCCAGTAGCAGCAGCAGCAGCAGCAAGTGAATTTTTCCTCGGCCGTCTTTTTTTCACTTGGCCGTCAGTTTTCTTTGGTAGTAGAAGAAGTGTTCGATTGAGCAGAGGAGGAGGGCGATTTGCAAGCGACTTGATTCTCTGGTTTCTTGCTGCCTNGGTCTTTGCTCTTTTGCTCCTGTTTGATTTAATTTTCCAGTAGCAGCAGCAGCAGCAGCAAGTGAATTTTTCCTCGGCCGTCTTTTTTTCACTTGGCCGTCAGTTTTCTTTGGTAGTAGAAGAAGTGTTCGATTGAGCAGAGGAGGGGGGCGATTTGCAAGCGACTTGATTCTCTGGTTTCTTGCTGCTGCCTCTTTTTTTCAAAGACTTGACATTCGACATTTGTGTTGTGCTAAAAAATAAGGTGGTGGTGGTGGTGGTGGACATGAAAGACGATTGAGTGAGGAGGGGGAGGCTTTGCTGTTTTTTCGCTAAAAAAAGCCAACAACAGCAACTCGAGGATTTACATGAGACGAGAGCGGAATTTGCACAGCACACGTCTTTCTTTTCTTTTTTTAGTCGATTCGTTGCTGCTGCTGTTGCTGCTGCTGGCCGGTCTCCTCTTTCAATCTCAATCTGAGCGTTTGCCTTTTCTTCTTCTTCTTCTTCTTTTGTTCAGTTCTTGAAATAACACACAACGAATTTCCTAGTAAGCGTAGCTGTGCAAAAGCAGTGCCGGCAAGTGGCACGCTAGGCGGAGAAAGAAAGTGTTTGCGTTGGACTGAATTTGCTTTCTTCTTCTTGTCCTTTTCGGTACTTTTCCTAATTTGTTTCATTTCACGGCGATTTCACCACCACTGCCATCATTTCGAGTGCAATTGTTACTGCCGTTTGTCTCTTTCTTTCTTTCCTTCCTCCTTTCTTTCCTTTTTGCTTCATCTTCTCAAGTAGCAATGAGCGGCGCGTGTGAGAATTAAATTAAAATTAAAAGAGAGACGTCTTCTTCTTCTTTGCTTTCTCAAGGCCGTTTTTACAATGAGAGCGAGCTCTGAGACAGACAAACAATAGATTGTTGCTATTTCTAGTGTTNCATTTCGAGTGCAATTGTTACTGCCGTTTGTCTCTTTCTTTCTTTCCTTCTTTCTTTCCTTTCTGCTTCATCTTCTCAACTAGCGATGAGCGGCGCGTGTGAGAATTAAATTAAAATTAGAAGAGAGAGAGAGAGACGTTTTCTTCTTCTTCTTTGCTTTCTCAAGGCCGTTTTCAAAATGAGAGCGAGCTCTGAGACAGACAAACGAGAGATTGTTGCTATTTCTAGTGTTGTATTTCTTCTTCTTTTTTTCTATTCTACTATTACTACTTTGTAGACAAATTGTCCGACATCTTACTTTGAGAGGGAGAAAGAGAGAGAGAGAGAGAGAGGTTGACACTGCCACCAATCTTCTCCATCTTTGCTTTGCATCTATTATCATATTAGAGTGATCGTAGCTGCTGCTAGGTCGTCACTGGCTAGTATTTATCATTCGAAGTATTGCTCTTTTGCTCTCTTTCTCTTCGTCTCACCGTCACCATTTGTCTCTTGTCTTTCTCTTTATCGTTTCTTTGCGTGCCAAAGTGTGTGTGTGTGTGGGATCCTCCGCAGTGTGCAGAGGGCAAATCACCCACGCAGCAAAGACAGAGATTCGATGAGCGATTGACTGGCGGCAGAGACACATCTGCACATCTTCGTTTGCAGATGCTGCTGCTGCACGACAACTACTGCCTGCAATTTGCAATTTTTTTCCTTTTTTTTATCTTCTCGCCACTTTCTCGCAAACAAAGCAGCTCAGTGCATTCTGGTTCTCATTCTCATTGCCAGCCTTGATTCATTCAGCCAGTCATTCAGCGGACTATTAGAGAAAGAGAAACGCGGGTGCACTTTGCATTTGTCTCGTTGTTCTTTTTTCTTTTCTTTTGTTGTTTGTTTTTTGCTATTTTTCATTCCTTTTTTCTTTTCTACCTCATGGCCGAATAAATTGCTCATTTCATGCTGCTGGTGCTAGGGTGCATGTTGTGTTGTTTACGTGCTCTGCTGCCTCTGTATTTCTTTTCTCTTTCGTTGTCTGTCTAGCGTCCTTTAAATCCCCTGTTTCAGCTGCAATTATTTGTGATTAGTCGCTGTTTGCTGCGTCTAGAACACAAGCGAGAGTTGAAGGTAGATTAGGTAGAAGTTCGAAGAAGTAAAAAAATTCGGGCATCTAATTACATTTGCTGACATTGTTGGCTGCCATCGTCAACAAAAACAGCCTTCACCTCCTTTGACTTTTGATTATTCAATTCTGATTATTCTAATGTACTCTTTTTCTCCCAATCAGGCAACCCTCGACCTATTCTGCACTGGTACAAGAACGGCCGCCTCATCGACGACACCTGGTCGGTGACGGCGCAGGGCATCGTCCGCAATGAGCTGGTGCTCAGTCGGCTGGAGCGGCCGGACCAGGGGGCGCTGCTCACCTGTCAGGTGCTGCTCAACGTGTCCACGCCGGCAGCGAACAACGATCAAGCAAAGTCCACTTCCACATCTTCCACATCATCTTCCACAACCTCCACCACAACTTCCTCTACCACAACTCCCTCTACCTCACTGCACGTCCTCAAGAGTGTCTTTAGTCTGATTACACTGGAGCTTAACCGTAAGTGGACTGCTTTTCCTTTTTCTTTTTTAATTTTTAGTTTTAGTTTTTTGCTTCCGTCTCGAGTAGTATAAAATTGGCAGTCATTTGTCATTTTCTATCTTTTTTATTGATCTGTCTGGCACTCTGCGCGCAGGCATGTACACCGGAAAAGAGCCAGCCAGAGTGCAATGAAGTTATTTGTCAGTAGTTTTTCACAGAGAGGGATAGCCTGTATTTTTTTTAGTTTAAAAAATGTTTCTAAAATGTCTGTCATATTTAATCAGTTGACTGATGAGACTTGGCTGTGTTTGCCATTTTTAGTAGTTCAGCTGTGAGTTTGCCATTTCAGCACCTTAAAACTTTTTCTTTCTCCTCTTCTTCTTTTGACGTGTGTGTTTAATATTTAAATTGTTCATTGACAAGGAAGAGAGAGAGAGAGAGAGAGAGAGAGAGAGAGAGAGAGAAAGGGCCGCTTCTTTTTCCTTTTCCTTTTCCTTTTCGCTCTCCCACTTGCCGGCGTCGGCATTTTGAACCGTTGTAGTTTTTAGGAGCAGAGTAGGTTGCAAATAAATTGGCTCATTTAATATTTAATGCCAAACTTGTTTGAAACGGTGGAAGAGAGAAGAGTCGCTCGACTGTCTCTCTCTCTCACCTCGCTGCGCCACCGAAGCAGCAACAACAGCAGCAGCACTTTACAATTCCGTTGTTGTTGTTGTTGTTTGGTTCTTTTTGCCTGTTTTTTGCTTCCTACTTTTCTTTCAGGCTTTNCATTTAATATTTAATGCCAAACTTGTTTGAAACGGTGGAAGAGAGAAGAGTCGCTCGACTGTCTCTCTCTCTCACCTCGCTGCGCCACCGAAGCAGCAACAACAGCAGCAGCAGCACTTTACAATTCCGTTGTTGTTGTTGTTGTTTGGATCTTTTGGCTGTTTTTTGCTTCCTACTTTTCTTTCAGGCTTTCTAGTTCTCTAGTGCTCAGCAAGCACACATACGTAGGAAACAAAATAAAACCAGTATGCTAGAAAAGGGACTAAAAGGAGCAAATGGTCGAGCCGCGAGAANCTCTCTCTCTCTCTCTCTCTCTCTCTCTCTCTCTCTCTCTCTCTCTCTCTCTCTCTCTCTCCTGGTCCCTCTGTACGGGCCATTAGTCTTGTGAATATGACATGCGACGGTTGNCAGTATGCTAGAAAAGGGACTAAAAGGAGCAAATGGTCGAGCCGCGAGAAAGAACAGAAGACCATTAAACGGTGCAAGAGTTATGGTGTGCCGCTCGCGCGTCTCCTTCTTCTTCTTCTTTTTCTGCTCTTGTGGCACCTCGATTTTGCCTCCTCTTTCTCTCTCTCCTGGTCCCTCTGTACGGGCCATTAGTCTTGTGAATATGACATGCGACGGTTGTGTGTGTGTGTGTATTGCGTGTGTTGTATTGTGGGAACAAAGTGAGATGAAGAAGAGGGAGGAAACGGAACCAATACACAGCAGTGACGGCAGCAGTCGAAGCAATTGATCGAATATCACGGCAATGAGAGAGAGGCTAAAATGAAGGCCAAGTAATGGCTGCTGCTGCTGCTTTATTGTCGCTGCTCACTGTCGATTTGGTGGTGGTGGTGGTGGTGGTTCTCTCCGATCCACCACCGCCACCACCACCAAACTGGCCATATTTTATGTCATTTTATTCCCTTTTTCAGTTTTGGGGGAGGGGAGGCTTCAGTAAATTGGCTCTAGGGCCATTTGGCAGGAATAAATCACCAACGGCAGCGGCGGCAGTTAGGAAGGAAGAAGGAGAAATGAATGAAGGTTTGCACTGTCAATGGGAATGGGAGTGAAGGCGAATGAATGAATGAGTGAGTGAAGGCCTCCGCAGCCGCCTCTGTTATTCCTTGCTTGCTGCCTCCTTGATATCGTCTCCTCTCAATTATTTATTGAGACCAATCAGCGCAGAAATTGCCTCTCCTCCTCCTTCTCCTGCTGCTGCTCCTCTCTGACTGTTTGTGATTGCTGCTGCTGCAGTTTGCAGTTTGCAGTTCAGGTAGAGAGTACTGAAGCAGGTGGGGAATGTTCTCACTTTGGTGGCCATTTTCTTTCTTTTGTTCTTTCATTTCTTCCTTTTTTGAAGGTGAAGAAGGGTAAAGTAGTAGTAACTGCTTGGTGCTGGTGCACTTTGAGCGCGCGGCCATTTCCCCTTTCTTTTCTGGTTATGGCTGCTGGTGCTGCTGCACTTTGCCCGGCAATTCTGCCTCGACACCGAATGGCCCACACTCACACACATCCAAACACTCACATCTTGCATCTGAAGTGTTTATGTGCCAATTTTCTTTTAGACAAATTGCATCTAGGCTTGAAGCATCAACTCAGCCCCAGCAGCAGCAGCAGCAGCAGCAATCGTGCCGCCATTTTCTCAAATTTAGTAATTCAGTCTGTCTCGGTGTTTTCTTTTTTAGCTGCTCAATTTTCAGCTCTTTGCTCCTTCTTCATCTTCTTCTTTTGCTTTGTGTGCTTGCAAGGCCGTTGATGAAATGAAATGAATAAACAGCAGTTCTGCCGCGCTACTCATCAGCAGCAGGCTCGGCTTTCAGTGCAGATCTTTTTTTGTGTAGTCAAGAGAGGATTTCGAAAAGAGAGAGAGAGAGAGGCTGGGGATGCTCCCCATTGGGGAATGAATGTCGAGTCTGTCTGAGCTGAGCTGTCTGAGCCGAGCTCTGAGCAGCCTCTGTTGCCTTGTCTCTGTCCCCCTGCCTAATCGGCGTAATAAATAAAACATACGAACGTGTTCATCGATCTAATAACCTCGCTCTTCGTTCGTTTCGTTTCATTCTGAGGGGAGCTACGTGATTGGGCTTGTTGGTTCACTTGCCTGGCTCACAGTGTGCTCATTTGCCCAGTTCAGTTCAGTTCAGTTCAGTATTTGCCAGTCAATTTTCAGTTTGAATATTTGCCCTTTTATTTGTCCATTCCTTACTTCCCTTTTAACTTGACAGCTCACTTTTAGCCCCTGCCTTTACTGACCACCACCACAAACTCTGCTGTGGTGAATATTTGAATATTTGCTCTTTCTCTCTTTCTGAAAAGCTTACCTCAACTCAAATATATCTGCTTTTTTTGCCTTTCTTGCAGCAGTGTTTGTCTATCTATCTACTCTTGATCTATTTACCAATCACTTGGCTGCAGTAACTGTGTTTCTGTGTTTGCTGTTTGCAAAGTCAATTCTCTCTCTCAACTCGACTCTACAATGTCAGGTTTGGAGGTTGAGTTTGGCAGTGAATTTGCTTTTGAATGACACACAGCACAGCACACGCGATTTTGAATCTCTCCATTTGCTACTGCTGCATCTCATTTGCCTCTGCTGTCACCCGTGGTTCTGACTGCTGCTGCTGCCACCTCTTCTCTCTTCTGATTCAATCTGCATTTGTGAATTTTTATTCCACCATTTTACTTTGCGGGTGCAGATAACGCTGCTGCAGAGCAAAAGAGTAGAGGAGACACTTTGTCACAGCAGAGAGTTTTTTTCATTTGCCCAGCATGTGTGTGCTGGGTTGTCAGTGAGGAGATGGACAGCAGAGGCAGAGGCAGCAGCAGCTCACACTATCACTCACTCACTTTTGCCCTGATTTCCGCCGCTGCTGCAGTTTCTGCTTTTCACGCTTTGCCTCACTGGGCTGCTCAGTTTAGTGTTTAGTTCAGTGCTGAAAAAAGAGAGTGAAAGGATTGTGAGCAACTTTAGGAGGGGATGGATACTGTTGGGGGATGCGGTCGTTCCAGGCTTGCCTAGCCCTTCTCCGTTACTCTGCTACACAATGGCAAGCAATTAGCGGGCAATTGTAATTAAAAGGCAATTATTGAATAGGCAGTGGAGGAGCACATGCATCAACTCTTCCTTCATTCTGCTGTGGTGCAAAAAGATGCTCTCTCTCTTTTTCGCTGTGATCAGGTCGTCTGCTGATAGTTTCAATATAACTGCTCGATGCTCAGCTTTTTGTTTTGTTTTGTTGATGTGCCTAATTGTTGTTATCTACGGGCCGGTCGGCTGTTCGGCCCGGTTTGAGGAGGAGGAGAAAGTACTTTTTGTTTATTCTTTTTATCGTTTTCATAGTCTGTCTGGTGGTGTCTGGCCACCACCACCACCACCACCCCCGGTTCATTGGCTTTATTCGTGATCTTTTTTTTCGGTTGCCGAAAAAAAGTGGAAAAATGTGTGCGGTTTTTGGGCAGCTATTTTTGCCGCCGCCGCCGTCTATTGTTTGTCTCTGCTGACACTCTCTTGGCTGTTTGTCTGGTGGTGTTCACTTTTAGTGGTAAATTTCACCAACCTTACTTCCATTAAGGTCCCCCGCGCAAACAACCACCACCGCACATTGCACAGCAAACCCTGCACGGTGCCACTTTGCCTTCGTTGCGGTCGGCGGATCTCCTGTAGAGCAGCAGCAGCAGCTCACTCTGGGGCTGCTGGCTTTCCGTCAATTTCCTCCTCTCTTTCTCTTTCCTCGAATTGTCTAATGGAGCCCATTACGCAATTGAGAATACTGCGGAGGTAGTGGTGCTGGAGATGGGGTCTTTTTTCAATCTATCCCCCCCTCCTCGATTCAAGATAGATAGANGAATACTGCAGAGGTGGTGGTGGTGGGGATGGGGTCTTTTTCCTCTCCCCCGATTCAAGACCGATTGAAGATAGTGATGGTGAGATGGTGTTTTGAATCAGCCGCACACAGAGCATCAACAAAAGATCATCATCATCGCCTTTTCCTTCCCCTATCTTTCTCTTTGGACACTTTTCCCCCTTCGTAGTTTTGCAAACACTTATGCTCTCTCCTTCTCACTTTGCTGACTTGCTGTGAGGGGCTGTGTTTTGGTCGTCCATTATCACATTGGGGCACTCGTGGTCGCGGTGGTCGTAGTGACTTTGTTCTGCTGCTGCTGCTGCATTATATGGCACTTTTAGTAGTGTCTGTTTTTTGGGTGCTATTTTCATCACAATTTATTCCCCCTCAATCCTCGAGCTCGTGTTTGCTCACCGTGCGTGCTTG